CTCTCTCTCTCTCTCTCTCTCTCTCTCTCACATGTCCAGTATAAACCCAATAACAGGAGTTGTAGAAGAGGAGCAGCCCAATCCCATGGAGGGAATGACAGAGGAGCAAAAAGAATACGAAGCTATGAAGCTGATCAGCATGTTTGACAGACTGTCGAGGTCAATAAAAGCAGGAAACACACACCAACATAAACACACGTGACTTGTAAAGGACATTTTGTTGTCTATCACAACAGAAAACCTATACTCTATACCAGGGGTTCTCAACTGGTCTCACCCTGGGACCCACATTTTCCCATGGTCATTAAGTCGTGACCCACTTTTTTTTAGAATTCAGTATTCAATATATTGTCCTGTGCAACATGCATTTCAGAGCATATAACCATGCATAGTAACTGAACCATGACGACTGCATGTACAAAACTGCACAGAATAAATAAGGGCACAAATTTTAGTATTTAGAGATCAAAACTGATATCCTGATTCCAGCACAGCGAATGAATAGTTGGTTATTCGGCTATTTGGGTCCAGTCCTAGTATGAAAATCCACATTTTAAATACTCCGAGTCATATTTGCGCTTTGCCATCTTGCATCCCAACATCAACACAAATTTAAAATGAATGTCAAACAAACTATAGTTACCATGCCTGTCAAAATAAAAGTTTTTTCAAAATAAAAAACAAGTCCAACCTGAGACTCACATTATATATTATTTGTTTTTGACCAGCTGTCCGCGACCCACTTTTGGGTTGCAACCCACCAGTTGAGAACCACTGCTCTATACTATACTACTATATTAAATAGTAAATTATAAATCTAAAAAAAACATTGTTTATGTTTGGCAAGTTATTATAACTGAAAATAACAATGACTAAGTAGATAAGACTGCGAATTTAGTGGAATTGTTGTCAGTTCTTTCAGCACTTAATATTACCACAGCTTTCAATATTTAGCGTTGCCTATTCAGTTCAGTCCATCTTCATGCATGCCCACATTACATTTTTACTTCTACTGCCTACAGGTCTAATGTGATCCAGCCCATGCAGCTTAGTATGGATGGGAAGATGAGAGAGATGACTCAAGAGGATATGAAGAAAGTGACCCACAATCCTTTGTTCCCGTCACAAGAGCCAGCTAATTCAGACAGTGAGGAGGAGGCCCAGTAAACACAGGAGCTTAGCGGCAGAAACAGATTCCCCGAGATAATCTGGCTTTTTGATTTAGACATTTACATGTCACACATGTATCCTGTTCTACAATGTTAATTTTGATAGAAACTGAAGTACAGGAAATTGTGATTTGTTTAGTAAAAGTAAAAACACAGCATTGGGTAAAACACTGACCATTTTCCAGTTTTGTTGATTAGTTTCTTTCCTCACAGACATTTGTTAGAGATCATTTTAGTCCACTATGAAAACCGACTTACTTATTGACATTGTGCATCACTTGAACAACACCAGAGAGTGTTAAAGAAGGACTAAGATTCTTCACATCAGGGAAAAAAGTGAAGCACAAAGAGCATACGAACATTTCCATTCAAGGTTTTTTGAAGGTCAACAACAGACATTGCTCCTCACTAAACTCAAATGTACAACAATCCCCAAGAGGCTCCTACTTCTACACAGCAAATGTCAATTATGAACAAAGCACCAGTATGACCCTTTAAATGGTCTTCTCATCTAGATAAATAGACACACTTAGAGCCTGAGACAGCCCAACACTGTTGACTTTGTTTCCAACCAACAAGTAATTTACTGAGATACAGTTCATGTTCTTGTATGTGAAGCTACCTGTAGAAGTGCAAATGATCCTTGATTAGTGATCAGTGTTTCTCAGTCAGCTCCACCCACAGTGCAGCGTGGGTGTTGACCATTCTTGGCTCCAAACTAAACTGAGAATCTGAACCTTGTACTCATCACGACGGTGGTGTGTGTCTATCTGGTTCAGGGTCATCGATTTCATTAGGCCTTTTTACCAACATGTTTAAAAGGAGTGATCATCAGTTAAGTGTAAAATGACAGTTTGCAATTTATCAAACAGAAATTCAGATTACAGCCACACTATCAACATGTCAATCTATATTTGTTGCATTTGATTTGTTGAGGTTGTGAGACCTTCACCCTGTAACACTTCTGTTCTTGAACTATAAAGGTAAATTGAATTTTTGAAACTTTGAAAACGGCATTGGAAAAAGTCAACAGTAAACTGTCTACATCCCACTCTACTCTACATCCTGGTTGCTTTAACTTAGGATAATTTACGGACCTGCTTACAGTGGAAAAAGTCTTTCTTCGCAGTAAAACTAGTCTCTGCCACTTAGTTGAAGTTGAACTTTGTAGGAACATTTTGACAGAATGTTGGGCTCTTCACGACGAAGCGAGGCTGTATTATTTTAATAGAGCAGAAGACTGTGTCATGCATGAAAGCCAAAGAGCTGCGGTTCAGTTTGCAATGATGGAATCAGCTTTAATTTTGAGTAAAATAAACAAATTAATTTTAGATGTCTGATGTTTTTCAGAAAACTCTTCAGACATTTTACTTGTGGAAATGAAATGTAAACCTACAGATGGATAAGCTACCATTTAAGACTGAAGATGAAGCATTGTTATGATAAATGTCAATTCTGAAACATATATTAAATGTATTTTCCTCTATATTGTTGTTTTATTGCTGACAGCTCCATTGTTGACAGTAAAATATAATAAATATGTTTAAATGACAGATTGGTCTCATGTTTCAATATTGTACAGTTGTTGTGTTATTTCAAGTAAGAAAGTGCTGCAGAATTTGAAACTCTTAAAAAAGTGTGATAATAAAACAGCAACCCACACTACAGCTTTGAATCTATACACATCAACTGTGTGCAAAGTAAAGAGCAGAACTGTGTAAACCCCTGAGCCATATCAGTTCAATGTCACTTGTTTCAAAGTTGGATCAGCCGTTAATAGTTGCATTACTTCTAAGTGTAACAGTACAGTATTTGTCCTTATGTAAAACTAAAAACTAACAGTTAAGAACTCTTGGACGATTTGGGAGGTGTGTTTTGAATGCTGGAATATTCCTTTTCTGCTGAGGTCACGTTTTCAGCCCCATCACACTCCTGCGTCACTGTCAGGATCATGAGTTCACTGTGAATGTTGGTGGCCAATTCCTGTTTTATTTTGGAATCAGTCACTTCTGTGAGCACTCACTCCTGGCTTTATCTATGTCCTCCAAATTTTGTGTATCACCTTACTTCACATGTTCACTGAGTTGTCTCTATAAATACCCCCAGGGGTTCCCTTCCAATGTTCTCTTTATGCTCTTTAGTAGTCAAGCTTTTCAGCAATTTCTAACTTCTAGTTTGTATATACTATGTAGAAACAAATTTATCTTGCTCTCATCTGATCTAAGAATTTGCTCCAAATATTTATCAGACTTCTTTTCAGGCTTTTGTTTGTTTTTTGTTTTTTTTAAAAGCAAAATTAGTGCAAAGAGAAAAGTCCCCCTAGGACTTCTGTTATTTCTTTTCCATGTCAAGTCAAGATGCAGACATTCAAATTTGTGAGGTTCACAGGTAGTTTTATAACCATGTTCATTCAGTTAGTCTAAGTGTAAATCACAGGTGCACTCAGTGTTGTTTCAGAGATCACAGATATTCTAACTTGTGTGTCAGAGATCACTGGTGTATTCACTCTGTACTGAGTTTCTACGTTGTGGCCTGTATTTTCAATCTACTGTTTTGAAAGTGTCCATTTTTAAATGTTCAAAGGAAATACACGACGTGTCAACTTGTAAATAATAGATAATACAGAGTTGGAATAGTAGCACTGATGAACTAGTACACAGTGTGTACCTACACAGTGAGTCCCAGGTTTGTGGGAGTTTTGCTGTGTAATATCACCCACTGTATTTAAGTCTTTCACAGTGCCTAGCTCTGATCCATCAGCTGGGAGCTGCCTGATCAGGCCAAAAAAGAACAACTGAAGACAGACTTTTAAAACATTTTATAGGCAGATGACACATGAGTGCGTCTTAATGGGCCAGACGGATGGGACGGATTGTGACAGAATCACTAATTGAAACAGGGCACCAGTTCAAGTCAGGCACCAGCTGGTGGAGGTGGAGTCCCAGTATAGGCCATCATTAAGGATTCAAGTGAATTTAACTCAGTTTTATTTATATTGTGCCAATTCACGACATATGTCATTTCAAGGCACTTCACATAATGAGATGTAGACCTTAGTATATTAATACTGAGAAACTCAACAAATCCATAGATTTGGAGTTTTGTAAGCACTTTGCAGGAATGGGAAGAAAAAAGCCACAGAAGACAAAAAGGAAACAATGGGAGCGATATAGCAGCATAACTCAGGGATGCTCATAGGGAATCCAACGGCAGCTTTAAATTATTTTCTGTTTGTCTTTGCCTTACTATGTGAAGTGCTATGAGATGACATATGCTGTGAATTGGTGCTACATAAATAAAACTGAATTAAAACTAAACTGATGGTTCAAGTCTCCCCGTGCAGCAGACCTGCCTCTAAATTAATATTAATGAGTAAAGTTTTAAGCTTAATCTTAAAGCAGAGAGGGTGTCTGCCTCCAGAACCCAAACTGGGAGCTGGTTCCACAACAGAGGAGCTGATAACTGAAGGCTCTGCCTCCCATTCTACTTCTGGAAACTCTGGAACCACAAGTAGACCTGCAGTCTGAGAGTGAAGGGCTCTGTTAGGATGATACGGTACAATAAGGTCTTTAGATGGAGCTGGTCATTAAAAGTTTTATATGCGAGAAGCAGTAGTTTAAGTTCTATCCTGGGTTTTACAGGGAGCCAATGAAGAGAAGCTATTGCAGGAGAAATATGATCTCTGTTAATGGTTCCTGTCAGAACTCTGGCTGCAGCATTTTGGATCAGCTGGAGGTTTTGAAGAGAACTACTTGGAGATCCTGATAGTAAATAATTCCAATTCCAATGCATGGGTTAGATTTTCAGCACCACAGACAGGATGTTCCTAATTTTGGCGATACTGTGCATTTGAAAGAAGGCCTAGATAGAGATGTTTTTATGGGTGAGCTAAAGGACACATCCTGGTCATATCCAAAGTGCTTTATAGTAGAAGGAGGCCAAGGCAATGCCATCCAGAGTAACTATCTGATGAGACAGTGTGTTTCTGAGGTGCTTAGGACCAAATATAATAACTTGAGTCTGTGTTAATTTAGAAGCAGAAAACTGCAGGTCATTTAGGTCGTATTGTCATTAAGCAATGCTTGGAGTTTGAATAACTGATTTCTTTCATCTGGCACTACAGACAAATATAGCTTGGTTTTATCTGCATAGCAAAACCACAACTTAAAAAAACATTTAGGTAGTAATACAAGCAGTCAAACAACAATAGATATTAGTAGGGAGACACAGCATAAAGGATAGTAAAAGCTAATTTTCTAAACTATAGCAAAGACATCAGATGAGGTTGGGTTCCTACCAGAAGACATCAGGGAGAGCAGGCTGTTGTGGGAGTGTGTTGGGGCTTTCTATGACCCTCACGTTCCTTCAGAGTTTGGTTTACAGCTCTTTTAGGCTGGGCAGTTTCACAGTAAGTGTGTTCTGTGCAGTACATACCACCCTCCCTTGAGCTTTTTGGTCCATGCCAGCACAATTACTGTACCAAGTGATTAGGCAGCCTGTCACAATGCTCTTTATCCCTGGTAGAGATCTATGAGGATTTAGGACCAAATATCGTGAAACACCTGAGGCTGTACAGATGCTGTAGGTGAGGGGTGTCAAACTCGTTTTCATCCCGGGTCACATCAGCTTTATGTTTGCCCTCAAAGGCTGTAATTGTAAGACTGTATAAATGTAACAACTTCTGAACATACTGTTAAATAATTGTCGCTGCATTTGATTATTATTTATCCTATGTACAAATATTGTGCATGCATTCACCTAAAAGTAAAATATATGTTGGCACATTGCTGCATTATTGTAACATTATATTAAATTATGCTATATTACATAAATCCCATTAATTTATCAGATGAGGAGATACACATCTCTTGCGGGCCACAAAAAAATGACATGGCGGGCCGGATTTGGTCCCCGGGCCTTGAGTTTGACACGTGTGCTGTAGGTCTTTTTAACAGTGGAGGTGTGGCTAGCCCATGTAACTGTGAATGTGAACTCCCAGGTATCTAAAGCTGTTCACTGTCTCGTCCTCTGTGTTGTTGATGGTGACTGGATGCTGATTGTGCCACCCACCCCTCCTACCCCATCATTCTGGGCAAGGCAGTTGGTCTGGCACCACTGCTTCAGGCAAAACTGTGGTCCATCTCATTGCTGCAGGTAATCAAACCTGTAACCGCTGAGTCATCTCACATATGTGGTTTCATCATCCTGTTCCTATGGGAGGAGAGGAGCTACGAGGCTTCTGTTTGCCTGCGTGGCTTTCCTTTTCTATACTTCGTACATATTTTAACTGCTCCCATATAAAATGGCCCTCTCAAGATAAGATAGTGAATCTGGAAGTTAAGACCATTGTCATTATTGCTGATATAGTGTCTACTGATGTATTTGCTCCTCAGCAGCAGCTGGTGATCCAGAAAGTCCTGCAATATGAAATACTGCACTAAACAAAATAAATTGTGATCGTTTGGATATTTTAAGAATCTCATCAGTCTATGTAGTTTTAGGGTGAAGATAATTGAGTCAATTAAATCACAATGAAAAATGCTTTGAGGAGCATAGCAGTGTTTGTCCTCAACAAATGTAAATGTAAAGCCTAACAAATGTAGTTTGGATCTACTAGATTATGAGATATTTTTCATGGACAGCATATTTGCATAAGACAAGAAGAAACCTTATGGAGACCTCAAAGGAGGTTAAATCTTGTGGATGATTGAAAATCATGTCAATCTGGTCATCATACGAGGTGTCAGAAAAAAAGATATATTTCAAATCCAAACTACAAACTACACGTTCTCCCCTTCAAGGTAATCCTCCTGGAGTCTCACACACTTTCCCAGCCTTCTCTGCCACGCCGCCATGCACTCCTGGAAGGATTCTTTCGGGATCCTCCACAGCTCCGTCATCACAGCCATCTTGATGTCATCCACGTCTTCATCCCTTGATGACCCCCTTGAGCTTGGGAAAGAGGAAAAAATCCCACGGAGCCAGGTGGGGTGAGTAGGGAGGTTGCTCCAGCACGGTGACGTTCTTCTCAGCCAGGAACTGTCAGATGCTCAGGGCATTGTGAGCAGACTCGTTGTCATGGTGAAGCAGCCACAACTTGTCCTGCCACAACTCTCACCTCTTCTCATGCACTGAACGAAGCAAACGCCACAGGATCTCTTTGTAGACGTGCTGGTTGATCGTCTGAAGGGGAAAACTCCTACTTTGGGTGTGAAATATATCTTTTGTGACACCAGTCCTGGAACTTTTCTGACACACCCCTTATGTCTGGAATATAAGATGAAATTTCACTTATAGTGTGTGTTAGAGGTAGCTGGTTCTAGCTAATGATTGGTTTGATGGATAGTGTGTGTGGGAGAAAAGGAAGGACTAGGAAGAGGTCATCAATCCATTAGGATACTTTGGTCATATGATGACAACTGAGCTATTACATGGAATTCAATGCACTGATGTGGGATGCAACTAAAAACCAACAGAAATTAACTGAGTTATAATATAATTATTGTCCAGAAATGAAAAAAGTGTCATGCCCTCCATCTCAAGCATTGCTTAGTGGCAGTCTCTCCTTCTCCCTCCCTTCTCTCTTTCCCTTTTTTCCTCAGGTGGACATGAGTTAGATGTATGTGCATGGTATGCAGGCAGGTGCAGCCAGTTGGATAATCACCTGAGTGGACACACCTGTGGTGGGGATTGGTCCACCTGCAACTCATCACCGTCTGCAATAAAAGTCACATCCAGACCATGACTGGACATCGGACTGTTGACTACCAGTGTTAGTTTGACCCCCTCTGCTTGTTACTTCCATGATCCTCTGTTTCTCCCTCACTTCAGTCCACCCAGTTCAAACCTCCGGTCCATCCTCCACCGTCGATCTGCTCTCTCTGGATTCCATCTTGGAAAATCCTCCACCTGTCCCCTGTACCTGCTGGACGCCATACCTGCCACGCCCCACGCCAACTCCGTCCACCTGCCCTCGCCCCTCCTCCCTATCCGGCCATCAGCTAAGTCACTCCACTCTCGCTGGGTCCTCACCAGTACAGTCATACTGTGTTTTCAGACATGCCATTCTTGCGTGGTGTTTAGTGTGTTCCTGATTCCTGTTATTACCAAGTCCGGGTCGGTATCATTCTACTTAATCACTATTTTGTCTTGACTTATTCTAGGTTCTTCAAGTTCTGTATAACATTTAGTATCTTAATTCCCTGTCGGTCCAGTAGTCGCCTCCCAAGGGAGCTCCAGTCCTCTCTGCTACCCCATAACAGCCATTCTCTGTATCATCCTGTGTAAATAAATTCTATTCTGTTTTGGGGTACTTGGTCTGCTGTGTGTATTTGTCCTGCACTTGAATCTCTGACCTGCTCCGTGACACAAAGCAAGCTGTTGTAAGGGAACCAAATCTTTAGCTTACTGTTCCAAAATAATAAAAAAAAGAGAGAATACAAAATTAAGACACAACTCAATTGACTTTTAATAATTATTAACAAGTATAGGTATGGATTTACAATCTATTCATTACTTTGTTTTTGTATGTTTTATGTAGTTTTGTACATATTCTGTGCGTGCAAGGCAAAGATAAACATGACAGTAGAAAATAAACTCTCCTCCAGGATGAGACGGAGGCCCAGGTCACTGACCACAGAGCGCCGGACTGAGGCCTGCTCTTGAAAAACACGCACCATTCTCCACAACCAACCTGAGAATTTGATAGACTGGATATTCAAGTTCTTCTGTTCATCTGACAAAATATCTGATCATGTATATATTTCTTTTCATCTAGGTCTTATCTGGTCCTCTGATATAATTATAGTTGTCTCATGGAAAGACTGCCCACAGTTGATTTGACTTTCAAACACTCTAGACAGAAATATGCAAAAATATGAAGAGCATGTGTCAGTCTGAGGATTCCACGAGGCTTGATGTGCCAACAAGGTAAAAAGAGATGCATAAGCTGAAAACCTTCCCTTATAGATGGTTACAAATATTGAAAACGAAATGCATTTGGAATAATCATTACAGTAACATTTTCAGACAACAATCAAATCTGGCAAAATTCTGGAATTATAAATGTTTGTTTCCAAGATGTTGTTCTACTTCTCTGCAGTAGGAGCACAAAGGCAACACCTTAAGCAAGGAAGCCTGTGCTCAATTTCTTTTTAATGTGTAAAAATAATAAACTGACAACTGAGTTTAGTGACCTGATGAAGAATCCCCATACACTGCTGAAGGAATTTAAAAAATATATTATTTCAGTGAGCACAGTTTTTTTCTCCCCCTGATATTGATAAATTAAGCTGATATTTATTGAAAAGAAATAAAGAAAATAAATTGCTATAGCTAATGCTGTTTAGGCGATTAAACAGCTGGAGTTTATTAGTATTAGTGAGTAGTTACATTATACAACAAAAGTGAGTCACTTCGATGTTAAATCATTCAGATTGTATAACTTCTCGATTATTTCAAAATTTCTAAGTTGACGAGTAAAGTTTCTCCCCATATAAAATACTATACTGAAAATGCAGGCCCCAGTGTAGAAACTCAAAGCAACAAAAGAGGATCCACCTATGATTACTGACACACAAGTTTGAAAACTTGCGATCACTGAAACACCTAGAATTTCCAATTAGAAGTACTGCATGAACATGATTATAAAATCACCTGTAAACACCAGAACTTTCTCAACCTTGGACTGAGTCTGAGTGCATCATGGCTTCATGTGGAAAAGAATTGCTTTAAGAACTGAAAGATCTAAGACTTCACAACGATGGAAAAGAAACCAGGAGGACTGGTGACCAACTAAAAACCAGTCAAAACACAGTTGCAGTAGTAATCAGGTGTAGAATAAATCATTGTAACCCTAATCAGAATCGCAGTGGTTGCCGTTTGCACAATCGAGCTATGAAAACCGAATGGACAAGTGCTTCAGACTCAGCGGTTATCAATGACAATCAGTTTCTTTGACAGCTTAGACAGTGTAAAGAACATTGCATATTGTCAGCCTCTACAGTTGTCATCCAAGAGTAAAGCCCTTGCCTGTTCCTTAGCAAAAAACTGAAAGATTAGACTTAAAGAATGCTGACAGAAGCTTGGTGAACATTGGGAGCACATTTTTCAGTCAGATGAGACCAAGATACATTTAATCAGCTCAAATGGGGTTCAGCATGTCTGGTGTGAATCAGTCCAGTGCTACGACAGTGAATGCACAGTCCTGACAGTGAAGCATGGAGGTGGGAGCTTGATTATAAGAGGCTGCATGAGGGCAATGACAGTTATAAATGGAGATGAATGCTTGTGGATACACCAAAAAACTGGCTGACAAGATGACTCCAAATCTGCAGAAGCTTGGCAAAGGAGGAATATTTCAGGATGATGACAATCCAAAGCACTCGAGAGTTTTAACAGAAGAAAAAAGTGAAAACTATGATCTGGCCGAGTTTGTTGCCAGACTTGAGTCCAATAAATCACCTCTGTGGTATTTTAAAGACAAAGGTCGTGAGACACAACCCTACAGGCAAAGAGCAGTTGGAAGAAAATACAAAAATAAAGCAAAAAAACAAATCAGAACATCTCTCCAGAGATTTTTTTTATCCTCCATAATGAAGAGAATTGAGTCTAGTTATTAAAAATAACGGTGCGCATACAAAGTACAAAAAAAAAGCAAAGCAAAACCCAGGAACAAAAACGAAAAACTGAATCTCACTGATCAAATGTGTGCTGTACTGAAGTGTATGGAGCTTCTACTGAGGGACCCATATTTTTATTAGACTAAATCTGAGCTGTTAGTTTTTAATTTTATAAAACAATAAAAAAAATACTTCCCTTTTCTTTTTGGAACAAATGCAATTACTGTAAGGTGAGGTAAGGGGCAATTTTGAATCATTTGACATTTAGAGGTTTTTCACTGACTTACTTCTGTTGTATATTGTAAAATAATGAATTTCTTGACAAGTTCCAAAACAGATGAGTTTGAGTGACATGAAGTTATTTGAGGAGGCCTTTTCCTCAAACACTGTCATCTTCCAGAACAGAAAAAAATAAAAATTAAAAAACTCAAGAAGGTGAAAGATGAAAAATACGAGATCTACTGTAAAACAAACAAACAAAAAAATCTTGTCATAAGCTTCGTAACAGGCCTTGAAATCCCATTTAAAATCATGTGGACAAAATGTCTGAGCAGGTGATAAAAATGTGTCTTTGACATGGTGTGTTGTTAAAGCACACTCATCAATGTGATGTTTATGGTTGTGGACAGTGTACAAGAGAGTTTTCATGACCACCCAGTTGATGCTCTTGTCAGTTTATTCACTGAAGGTGGAGTCTGTGATTCTGGAGACACATTGGTGACATTTAGCGAGTTAGCAAATGTTAACATGTGCCAGACTTACTGTCCCTCCTACGTTTCCCAATGATGCCACTGTTTTGGTGTTGATTCAAACTATACTTTCTGATTTTTTCTAATTTGTTGAAGTAATGTAAATCTTGTCTTTTGCCTAATGAATTGATATATGATAATATTCTGAGTAATTGTTTCTGGATGAATTGTAATTGGGAGCCTTAATAGAAGGAAGGGGCGGGACTAAGTCTTGGTTCCATGAAGGAAAATGTGTAGAATGGGGCATTGGTACAGTCTTTGACCATGTCCTTCTTTTGCTGAGTGCTACTTCCTGACTCGCATGTTTCAAAAACTCTTCAGCCACAGATCCTGTTTTCTTCATTTGGATTAAATTTTGTATTTGAAATGTTTTGATATCTTGCTTGTGTTGCTAAGATGGCACAATGCAATGGAAGTTAGAGGAACACACCACACTCCTCCCTGAAATGTGCATGCTCAAGGTATGCTGCAGTAGTTTCGTGTGGATCAGATGCTTTGTTTGTTTCCTCGACAAACAACAAATGTTTTCCAGTACGCACAAAATAGACAGCTAGTTTACCATGAGGCGATATGCACAGAATTTGAAAAAAAATAAAAATGCAATGGATTAGAAAGACATGTTCGCTGTGTCCCGTTTCAAACTCCTACGGACAATGAGTCTTTAACATTTGTTCTGATTAAATGCAGAATGAATTTTATAGGTGACATAGTTGCATACTGCTCAATGCAATGACACAATAAGGGGAAAAAAATATGGAGCAAAATAGGAGGCTGAAGTTAATGACAATTCTTGACATCAGGGTTATTTGCTTTTTGGGGAAAATAAGCACAGACTACAAAAACAAAACATCTAATTCATACAAATATTGCAAGCAAGCCTCACAGTCTAAACCAGAATAGAAAAACAAAAACAAACAAACAAAAAAGCATTTTCACTTAAAACTGTACAGAAGCTAACATACAATTAAAAAAACGTACCAACCATGTGTGCTGTTTATTTAGTTCTCAGACTTTCAAAGAGAACACCCTGACATGGGAGCAGTTTTCTACACGAAAGTAGAACATTCATGCTACTCTTTGACCTCATACACTATCCCTGGTTCCTGATCTCAGCGATGTCACACATCTCTCCCTCCTGTCTCTCCCAGGTGCGTCTTTTCTCCTCAGGTCAGTCAGCCTCTGTGTGTTATTCAGACAGAGGGGGCTCAGTTCTTTGGTCTGGTGGCTCTGCCTTCATTGTGTGATGTTTAGAGACTGCTTCTCCTCCCTCCTGTGTGCTGGTTCTCATATCCATATTAGGTTGCACTGTGCCGGGGCTCCTCTTGTGGGACAGAGGACTCACTTGTGGGATTTCTGAGGATACAGATGCAACTGGGATTGTGCTGTGGGTCTTTTCTCTGGGAAGTGGGGAGATGGCGTATTTTTCTAGAGCTTGGGGCAATGCTGTGACGATGCTTTTCTGGGATGTGGGGATTGTAGGAGACTTTTTCAGGGTATGGGGTAGTGCTGGAGGACTCTCGTGGCCAGACGGAGCTTTGTCAAATGCTGCAGCTTGACCGCAGAATCGAAGTGCTGCTGCCTCTTGTTGAGCTTCTTGAGAGGAGGGACAGCCTGAGCCTGGACCTTCTTCCTTTCCTGAAAGAGGGTACTTGGTTTCAGATGTACCTCCACAGCAGGTTCTTCCTGTCTCTGCCTTGAGCTCCTCCTTCTGGACAGTGTGCTTCTTTTCATCATCTGTTCGTTTTTCTTTGTCACTGGCTGTGTAGATGAAGGACAAACAGACACATAAATAGGTAAAATGACTGAAAGCAAAAACAAAACAAAGAATCCAAAAATGTGAAAAAAAAAAGTTATGAGTGATGAAGTCATCTCTCACCATGTGCACTTTGTGCCTCCTCCCCACTAGATGGATCTTCAGTGCAGGAGGGCAGGTCCCGTTTGTTGCCCCGGAAACGGATGGGTGACCTCTGTAACACTGCCTTCAGCTCTAAGACAGTTAGAGTAAAGAGGGCCTTGAGTCCTATTGAGGAGGTAATCTCCAACTATCACCATGTGTGAAAACAAGCTCAAAATGCCAAACATTCACTAAAGACCCATCTGAAGGTGCAAACATCACCAAAGTTAGATTAATACACATTTCCTGTGTACACAGCCATTACTAGCGATGTGAAAAATACAGTATTATACATATGAGCGCTTCCCTTTCACAGACTCATTTCATTTCACAATTCTTGCATTATTTTTTATATTTATAACTTCACTGTTGACTTTGCTATTGATAGCACTTATTTTTTATGCCTTCATAAAACCGTCACCTTGTGTGATGGACAGAGCATCCTCATGGACAGACACAGCTCTGCGTTGTGGAACGGACTTCAAGTGTTGGCGTGGCTTAGGAAGACTCTCTGAAAGTATGCAAATATACACATACATTTTAGATTTAAATACAAAAGCTGTGATATTAGAAATCTTGTATAATTTCCCTTTCAAAACAAGTCAACAAGAGACACAGACAAACATTGAGGAAATACTGAAGGGATGACTGACATATGTTTTAGATCATATGACATATCACATAATTATGATGTACATACATTCAATGTTAATGTGAATGTAACCAAACCTAACTGAATGCAACCCTAATAACTAAAAAATAAATCTACCCATTGCTATGATGTGTTTCTTGCTGTGATTTCCTTGCATGTCACGCCTTGATTCATGCGACCCTGAAGGCTCACATGGTGCCCCACATGGCTCACATGTCACTGTCATGATGAGCCTTGATTGTGCTCTTGATTGACAGCTGCAGACACCACAGATGTGTAGTTGTTGTTATCATACATCTTTCTAGTCTGCTTAGAAAGCAGCACAAGTGCCGCTCTTCTGCACGTGTACCGCCACACATGTGCAATGGGTCGGCAGCTTCATATTCCGTGCATGCACACTACTGCCCTTTTAGCGTAGTTGCCATGCAGTTACTTGCGGATGTCTTGGGCAGATGATAGATTGACATTATGCAGATGTGGAGATCTACTAGGACTTTTGTCATCAATGCAATTCCACACAGACCTCTACATAGACCAAAATTTGCAGACAGTCCATAGAGTGACTGCTCTACAAGGACACTGGTGCCAATGCTCAGCAGTAGTGTGCATGAGGGGGATATGAAAATGTTTACCTACTGCACATGTATGCAATGGAGTCCCCTAAGTGGATACCTGTAAACTAGAAAAGTAGGACAGTAACAGCTACACATCCACGGTGTATGCAGCTGTCCATGTGCATGTCTGTATAGACGAGGCATAATCCTGCCGTTACATTAAGCTGATGATGACAAAACAGTGTTGTATGTTTTGGCCAGTACAGACTGCCATGAGTCCACAGCTGTCTCTTAGCTGACTGTTAGACAGACTACAATATTTGCCCCCCACAGATTTGCCATGCAACACACTGATTGGACAACACCTGGTTTCTCATAAAATCTCATAAACTTATATCAGAGCAACCGTTCCTTTAATAAGATCAGTCAGACATACCCTCAGTCACCGATTGTGCTTTCTCTGCACGAGCCTGTGTACTTGGACCCTTCCATTGAGATGGGACTGAAGGAAGAAGCTCTTTCCTGGGAGACATGGTGCCGGCTGCACCCCGAGGACCCTCCAGACTTCCATCCTAGGGATGAGGATCAGAAGTTGCTAACAATGTAATAAAAAGAAAACGTAACATCGTTCTTTCTTTGTTTCTTTCTTTGTTTCTTTGTTTCTTTGTTTCTTTCTCTTTTCTCTTTCTTTCTTGCACATTCCATTGCAATATGTGGTTTGTGGAATTTCCAGCATTCTTTGTCTTGAGAAAGAAATCTTTTTTTTTTTGCCTGTATTGTTTTTTGTGTCTGGAAGTACACTTGAGCATTTGAGTTTCCACATTATATTGTCAAATGTTTGTGATTTGAAACTTTCTTCTCATTGTTGGCATTCTTTGAAAACAAACTTTTGGAGTCAATATTAAAATAGAATTAAGAGCACAGCTTTGCCACTGGGTGAATAGTCTTACTTCTGTATTGTCTTCGTAGCAACAATGAAGGACTTTTTGGACTGAATGCTGTATCACCTGTGCTCTAGTCTCCCCTGGCCTGCCATCATGAGTGTGCGCTCTGAGCTGGGCTTGCTCTGATGAGCTGCTGGTAAGAGGAGCAGAGGAGGGAGGAGCTCCTCCTTCTACAGGAACAGCTGGTGTGGGGAGGGGAGGTTTGGCTGCGATGGCAGGCTTAGATGGCAGGGGGGCGATAGGGCGCTCGGGGAGGGTGGGCTTTGGGTAAAGGAGAGGTTCTGGTCGTATGGGGTCCAGTGCTGTCATAGGATGCCTGGGGTCAGCTGGAAACAGAGGATGACAGTGACAGTAAATCACTAGTAGACATGCTGAATGATGCAGTTTGGTCTAGCCAGTGACAGATGTAGGCAGACAGATGTAAGCTAAACACTGAAAGCAAGGCATTATAGTAGAACCTCTCTTGTGTTGTGTTGTCACAGGCCCAGACACACCAGGAAGGTTGCAATATACAAAAATGACTACATTACACCATGTTGAAGATGTCACGGTCACTTTCCTTTGTTACATGAATTCTAACACAACATTTAAACCTAGAATAATTAACCTTTGTGGTTTATATGTTGTATATTACAGTACTGTATACATAGCATGTTAAAATATATCATAGGGCATTTTGTTTTATTACATGTTTCATATTTTCTATTGGCTTTTATGGAAACCATGCAGACAAGTTGATGCAGATTATTTACTGCCAGAAGAAAGTAACTGACTTTTCCCCCTTTTTAAGCCTGAAAGGACAGGACTTGGTTAAGCTCCTCAGACTTTCCCATTATACTTTTTGTGGATGAGTCTAATGAGTGGATCAAATGGCCCCTAAACAAGTCATCTCAGCAGAGTCAGCAGCTGTAGTCAATGGTAATCACTCTCCAGAAGGTAAGAGGCCATGACACTAAGAGAAATATGAGTAACACAACTTTCTTCATCACCAAAACCGATAATTCAAGTTGCTGGCTGTCCAAGACGCATGGGTTTTAATGATTCCGTCATAGAAAACTCAGTTAGAGGAATCATCGGAACCTTAAGACTGCCATGATATACATGGTCTTTCCAAGCGTATGGAAACAACTGCATATAGGCCAGTAATTTCCTCCAATGGTTGGTCACTGTGGTTCTTAACAAAACATAGTTAAACGGGAGGAAATCATATACTTGCTGTGGACTGTTTTACAGCAGTGGACTAATTGATACTGGTGCTTTAGTTGGTAGAAATTGGAGTGTGTGTTAATGTTAATTAAATAACAAATCGCCCATTGCAGTAGTTTGGTTCAGTGATTTGTGCGTGTCGTAGTTTTTGGACAACAGTGAAGTTTTATGGCACATGTTGCAGTATATCAGGCTTTGGATAAGCCCACCGTGACTGCTGCTATGGTCAGCTCATTGCTGGTTTGGCTCTGCACATGGGAACATTTTTCTTTTTCATATTTAGAAATGGTAGAAGATAATGCTGATACCTGATGAAGTAGACATGGTTCTGGGCTTCATGTATGTGGCAGGTGGTTCAGGTTTGTCCAGAATAGCTCCTGAAGGACAGAGACAGGAGGCAAGTTTGATGAAGGCTCCAAACATGGAATGAATAGGATGTGAACACTAGGGCTCATCATGAAGCCAATCTAATCAGTCACACAGCTTCACATGGGAGGCCTTTATGTAAAAATTAGTGATGATGACTCAAATAAGACTGAAAAGAAAGAGAAAAAGAAAAAATTAACATAATTTCATCGACTAGTATTACAGTTTCAGGACTATTAGAAAAAGTAGGCTAGATAACTGTGAAAGGGCCCCGTTAAAGTACCAAAGATAGACAGACAGAAACATGTAGAAGGAGCTTAAAGTGTTGTCATCAAAGATTAGAGCACGGTCAGATTATGTTGACCATATACAGGGTTAGTTTTAATGTACACAACTTAAATCTAGGATAAATGTTAAACAAATTAATTTAGGCAACACTTAGCACATGGAATCACTTTAATTATTTGTCCAGTTTAGTTTTCCCTTGCTGCTCAAAGAATCACAGATGGTCTTACAACTGATTTTGTCCCGACAAAGTCAGATTCAGCCACTCACATTAAAAGATTCCCACAATACTTTGACCAATCACAGCCTGTACATTATATACCTGTTCACCACCACTTGATTTAACACATTAAAGAAAATTAGCCTTATGCTTTAACTTGATTTTGCAGCTTTTACTAAAATTACCCCACCCCTAAAAAAAAAAGGACTAAATAAATAAATAAAAGCGTTATCCAAAAGTGTTAAAGATTTAAAGAGTACATAACGTGCCTCACCGAAAAGATAAAATTACTGTCAAGGCACTATTTAGGCCTTCGCTGATATCCACTATGCTGATGTTTTCTAACTCATTTTGGCCATGTAGGCACATACTTTTTTTCCCCCCACCAAAAAGCAGGGAACCTCTCTTGTGGTGGAATTAACATGTGTCAAACACTGCCGTGGTAGCCCTCTGGTAGGTTTAGACATAAAGCACAAGGCTTTTCAAATGCACAGGTTCAAAATCAATCATGTAAAACATTCCATTTAGATTTTTATGTAAGATTTTCGAACAGAACTGTAACTTTTTTGGAGCCTGACAGGTGTTATCTGGCTGTCAGCGTTCACTGTGGATGATGCTGATCTTTATTTTTAATGTCTTTATTAGCCCATACCAATGACATGCTCATATCATTGCTAGTCCCTAAAAAACACCCATACAGCTATCATAGAAATATTGAATGCAAAAATTCTTACCTTCAGAGTTGGCCTTTCTCAGCTCTTCGTCTTTATTCTATAACATACACATTAGACAGTATTAAACTACAATATTTGACCAACAGTACAAAAAGCTACTTCCTACCTGGAAAATCATTCACAAGCAGAACACTTATATTCTGCTGCTGTGATTGCTGTTGCATGTTGCAATGACTGACCTTATCTCTGCTCAAAGAAGGTGCCACAAATATGTAAAATTGGGTGAAATTACACATTATGTCCCTGGAGGACTAGGCCACGTTCTTCTGCATTAACACTGTGTACACTGAGCTTAAACCAATAACACAAAGGCACTTACCACAAAGCAAAGAACAGATTAAAGGAGATTAAAGGACTTTTCTGTTTATTACAACTTGGCTTTTACGTTTATTTCTATCCCTCCTAGCAGTTCTGATAACATTGTGTTCACCAAGCTAACTGACTGTGTGAGAGGAAGCCGGAGAACCCGGAGAGAACCCACGCTGCACGGGGAGAACATGTAAACTCCATGTAGAAACCGACCTTCTTGCTGCGAGGCAACGGTGCAAATCACTGATCCACCTTGCAGCCCAGGAAACAAGCAGCTTAACGATATTAATCTAAACTATTTTATTTGGAGGTAAAACTGAGCATGAGTACACCTCAAATATCTGTAATAGTTGCTCATTACTCTGCAGAAGCAAAAAAAGTATATATTTAGCATATATATTTACTTTAAGTACAATTGGTCTAACCGGCTTGTTTCAACTTGTTAGGTTTGTCTTATGTTTTTGACTTTTTTTAAGATGTCAGCCTGTTGGCCCCTATTGAACAGCTTTATTACTGAGAGAAATTTTGAACAAAAACAATAAATTGTAATAAAGAAAAACTATTCTTGAAGGTGTGTCCCCGAAATAATGTTGCTGTCAAAACCATCTAAACCGTGATCATGGGGAAGGCAGAAAAACAATGTGCACATATGTTTACACACAAGTAGTAACAGCAAAACCGTCTGAACATGTAGATTGTTTAACCAGAGCCGCAGACAGCATCACAAGCTCCTCCAGCGAGGCCAGGTTCTATTCCCCCCTGTGTCTGCTTTCTCTGTGTCTGACCTACTACTTCTAACACCACCTCCACCTCCAACAATCCCAAGGGGTCACACTTCAGATTAGCCACTTAAAAATCCATTCCTCCATTATTCAGATTCGTATCTCGGGTATCAAAGTTCTTGTCAAACCTGACACTGTCCACTACTCTGCCAATGCATCTCGAAGGCTTGCAAAATCTCACTGCAAAACACTTACGCTCACATTGGATTTTCTCTCTGCATCCTTTTGCCACACTCAGGCTACTGCTTTATCTCATTAACTCTACCTCAGAATCCACAGTTTGCTTGCTTTGAATGCAGCCTATACAGTGTCTTTCTTTATAATGCTGTCAGGTTGGTCAGGTTGTCCACGAGTGCCCGCTGAAACATCGCTGCAGTAATCCCTGTTAAAAAAAACTAATCTGTAGGAAGCTTCAGACATGTAAGACAAAGATCAATGAATATCATTTATCATGGATGGATAGGAAATTCTTATCATAGTTATGTTGGAGATTATGTCATACTTCTGAGTGCGGATGATTGTGGTGCAGCTGAAACAACTTCTAAAAATTGAGTTTTTGAATAAAGACTGCATATGGTCTTAATATATCCTCATAGCATTCCATGCTGAAATGATGGACACAAACTATGATTATTAAATGCTGTTAAACAACATTTTTAAATGTAATTAAAATAAACCTAATAGTCATGGTCTCATTTCATGTATAGAAATTAGACACATCATTACTAGGTCAGACTATGGCTTTACAGTCACAGGCCCATTAGCAACCTGTGTCTTATTTGTATGATCCATATTTTCATTCATAGTTCCTGTCTCCTGCTTTTTGTCCACATCAGGTTACAGCTGAAAAAGACATTGAAAACCTGATGTAATCGGCGGTAGGATTCCTGCAGAATTTCAGGGTTATCATCCATTCAGGAAAACGGAAGTTGGGGAAAAACAATGAATGTAGGACTACACTGAATTTTAAGATAAGTGTCAGTATTCAAACATGGAATCAAACTACATCAAATTTATTTCTCAAGCTTCACTGGATAAAAATAGAGTTTCTGCTCTTTATGTACCTAGTTCTGAGGTGAATCAAAGTTTCAGGGATCCAATTCAGACTTGATAGCTTGAGTTTTCCATCTCAGTATCCATCAGTTGAGAGTTCAGGGTGAGGCTCAGAGTTTGTTAAACCTGCTTTCTGGAAAAACTGTCACTCCAATCCAGACTGGCCAATAGAGATGTTTCTTATATCTTTTAGTGTATGTCCTGCTCACATGATTCGGCTCAATGGAAAATCAATCTTTTGGTTTGCAATCACAAATTATTTTACTTTCAATAAAACAACTCAGTGCAATCTCTAAAGTTGTACTCCTAAATGTTTTGATTGGAAACCTATTTTGTTTGATTGCATGATATAGAAATGCAAGCAGCTCCATACATATACATTTGAGGCAAAATGCTAAGCTAACATTAGTGAGCTAGCTCCGCTATCACTTATTTTATCTTTCCTTATGCTTCCTTTCAATGTACTGCTGACAGTTTGACAGGACATCAGTCGTTTCAGAACGGTTACGTTGCAGAATTTACAAACACTATGTTTTCTTTTGAACACAGATAAACTCTTTGTGGTCTAGGAATCGAAATTATACTACAGAAGATGAGCCAAACACCTTCCAGGCAGCCACAGCTTCGTGTCCTGACGTCTGCATTCACATTTTTAGAGTGCAGAATGAGGGAGGCATTAGTGACAAAAATGTCTAATTTGAAATGAGTCCAGCTATTGGTTGCATTTGAAGCATCACGATCACAATAACAATGTTACCAAATAAATCACACAATGTACAGGTAATTTAGTTAAATCTCTGCAGTTGTGGTCTTGACTGGTAGTGAAATAAAATCCAGAGTTCTCTTTGTCTGCGACCAAAACAATTAAGCATCAGCAAATAAGCAACAGCTGTCAAACTGAAAGTATTACAGCAAACTGTCTGATATGTTGACACACATACAAACCCACATAAACCCACACCCAGTGTACCTGGCACATCTTGGTTTCGGCAGGTGAAGTTTTGGCCACTCCCATTCTGTGCAACATCACCTGAAGCCTCTGTTCAAAACTAGATGTGCTCTCTGATGCATGTTTCTGGAAAACAGCGCAGACATTTAAAACAGCAAATGAGAATGTTCATATGAGAGTTGTATTTTTTTGTTTGTTTTTAATTTGTTGTGCTTGAATTCTTTTTGTTTGTTTTCAGTTAGTATAGTTTTTTTTTCTTGATTATATTATGAGACATATTTGTCAGGGGCAAGAAAGTAGAAGTTTAAAATGCATATTACAATACTTTGTGAAGGCAGTTGTCTCACAGCGATAACAACATCCCAGACTTGAGAAACATTATTCAGTGCATGTTCATTTTTGTGATGACAAATTTAAACCAAAGCAAAGATTCAATCTAAAGACTCTTACTGTATTAAATTTTGGTTATTTTTGTAAGTACACATTTGTGCTTGAGTCAGTTAGTATTAGTTAGTATTGTCAGGGACTCCTCACACCTTCTCCATGAACTGTTTGAACTGCTACCATCAGGCAAATGTTTCTGGAGTATTAAAGGAAGAACCTTCAGAATGATCAACAGCTTCATTCCACAAGCTGTCAGAATGCTGAACTGCTGATCCAGATATGCAAACACTTCTTTATTTAAATTGCTTTAAGTTATTGGATCCTGAAGAAACACTTTTTCATCTTGCCTGTACTACTGTGTATGTACAGCAAAATGACAATAAACTTGATTTAATTTGATTTGATCTATACATTCTGTGTACTCACTACTGCCGAGCATGCGTAATATAGACCCTTGCAAGACATTAACCCACTCGAGGATGCAGAAACTCTAACACTGGCCTTACAAGTGCGAAATCTGCTACCCTGCTTTACATCCATCCTTTATCAATCCATCCATCCAGTGAAGGCAGGGGACAACCCTGGACAGGTCACCAGTCTATCACAGGGCTACATTTAGAGACAGACAACCAAGCACACTCACATTCACACCTACGGACAATTTAGAATCACCAATTAACCTCAGCATGTGTTTGGACTGTGTGGGAGGAAGCTGGAGAACCCGGAGAGAACCCACGCTGCACGGGGAGAACATGCAAACTCCAGGTGTCCCCAGGTGTCCCCACCGGGACGCAAACCGACGACCTTCTTGCTGCGAGGCAACGGTGCTAACCACTGCTCCACCTTGCAGCCCATATTTCAACATGTATTTAAAACATCTAAGAGAAGCCAGTTTCAATGGTCCTGAGACAACTGTTAAAATGAATACTTGTGTTTTTATTCACGTATTCACACACTGCCAGGTAAAGCAAACACTTTCAAAAGAAGAAGGATTGTAGTAGGAGCCCTGGGGTGTCATGTTAGACTGTAACGATACCAAATGGTTTACATTCCTCATGGGTCAGGTAAAGAGGGCTCTGAATTTTGCAGAGGGAGACAAAGAGGTCAGAACTGGCTCTGACCATAGGAGTGTAACTATTGTGGCTACAAATCAGTGCTTCATGTAGATTTGTTCCCATTAAATATTTATTAAATGTATATTTATGTGCAGGAAGTTTTAAATGTTATTGATAGTATATTAATGCAAAATGAACAAACAATCTGCAACAAAAGTGTCTGCGTTAAAAGTAAAAGTGACAGAATGTAAGTGTGACATGACCGTGTTGTTGTTCTGGTGTTATTTGTACAGTGCAAATGTATAATATATGTTTAGTGTGCATTAACAACCACCTTAAACAGAAGCAGGTCAGAAAGCATGGAGGAGTCTTGCTTGAATATGGTGGAACACATTTATAAAACAGGGACAAGGTTCATCACTATTTAAACATTTACAGTACTAGCTGCTTATTTGTTGGTGTTTCATTGCTGTTAAAACAATCGCTTATTTGACCATCTAGCTCTTGTGTGTGAAGTGTATTGTCAGACTGACCTTACTAGGTGTAATATCCTTGTCTTCAGGCTCTAATCCCGTCAGCAGGATGAGACTCTGGCTCTTCCCCTCTCTCAGTGACCTCTTGGTCACTTTCAGTCTCCTTTCTCCATATGGAGTCCCTCCTAACTGCATCTTCTGCTCAGCTAGAGGGGAAGCGACCTCAGGACTGGGGGTCTGACCTTGTAAGACAGGAACTGCGTCTTCATCCAGGTTGGAGAGCATGGCAGTGGTGAGGTCAGTGCTGGTGGTGATGGAGGGATGAGACTGAGCATTTTCACTGGGCGGTGTCGACGTGGTTAATATCTTGATAGATGGCATCTTTTCCCCCGCATTGCCTGCAAGATGGTCGCTGGTGGCAATGGTTCCTTCTGTGGTGGTGGCATCATTAGAAATGTTAGCATCCTCCACTGACCTTCCCCCTCTCTCCTTCTCTCTCTCCTTGTCCCTCTCCCTCTCCCTCTCCCTTTCTTTGGCCTCACGGAGGGGTCGAATGAGGTCTGCAATGGAGGTCCTTTTGACCTTCACCCCCTCTCCTCCTCCTCCCTCTCCCCCGCCTGCCTTGGTGGCACGCCCAGGTCGAGCCCTCTTGAAGGCGAAGAAGTCACCAAACTTTTTCTTGATATTTTTGGTGGGAAATGTGGTGGTGGTGGTGACAGAAGAGGAGGTAGGGGGAGTGGAAGATGTAGGGAGGGGTGGAACGTCATTGGATGCAAAGGATGTGTCAGTGGATGCAATAGAGGGAGAGGTGACAGTGGCAGTGGTGGAGGAGGTGATAATGTCAGACGAAGAGGAAAAGGGGGCAAAGGCTGAGGGGGTGGAGCTTGATGCTGGGGGAGTGGCTTGGGCAGGGTTTGACTCCTCCCACCGGCCTTTTCTGCAGCAGGGAGACAGCAGAAAGAGCAACAGACAAAAAGAGACACTCAATACTACAACTACTGGTACAGAACCCAAGACACATGCTCAGCTCAGGTGCACAAGAATCTTCATGCAAACAGCAGACAGGGTGAAAACATCTCTCAGTGGTTACTACTTTATGCAAAGCCTGGCATGGTAATTTTGTTAAGTCTGACAATCTTCTCGACCTTCAGTCGATCATAGTGCAGACGGAGATAACTATATGTCTATAGACCAAATTACCATGCAATTTAGTCTGGGTAATCATTGTCTCTTATTTGTCTTGGTTACTTGTTAACCTGTTATCGACGTTATCTAGCACAGCTGTAACTGTTTGACCAACAAGCACCTTGGAAACTGTTAGTGTTGACCCAACTTCTTGGTCTAATGAATCTTGTCTGTTGTTCCACTACAAGGCAAAAAAATGTGGGCTCTGCATAAGTGCACTTCCTAATTTAAATACAGACAGCCCTTACATTTACAGACCTCATTCAGGTTATCGAGTAATAAATCCTCCACATTTCAATAATTCATATATGGTGCACACAGGCAATCTAACACCCTGGTCACAGCTTTCACCAGAGCTTTAAGCTAAAATTGTCATAATATACTGCGTTTCTTTGTATCAGCTAGGTTTGGAAGCACGTCTAGGGCAACCTACACTATTGATCTTTAGAGATGTGACCTCTGTAAGCTGCAGTGAGGAGGTGTGTTTGCTCAAAAGCTAGAGGATCGAAGGGGAAAGAGGGGTGTGCAATGTCATGTCTGGATTCTGTTCTGTACTTTCACAGAAGTGAATTGTGGGAAATATATCAGCAATGGTAAAACATACATGGATGTGTTGTTTTCTGTGACTACCTGCTGGGTTTTTGTTGTAAGCTGTCAAAACTGATGCTGTTTTTTTGAGAACAGAGAATAAAGCCATACAGTCGTGTCAAAAAGCAACATGTAAATGGAATAGCTGTTTTTTAAAAAAATATCTAGAAAAGCAAACATTTGATCCTCTTTGAAAACAGTGGATTCAGATAAAGGTACTATACCGGAGCTTTTTCAATAATTCACTACAACAATAAAAAAATCAATTGTCGCAATATATTTCTGTGGAAAAAGAAAGTCCTTTGACCAAACTCTGTTTTATTTTAAACAACTCATAGTACCATATTATCCCAATAAAACACTTTAAAGGTCTGTTTGTGGTTCCAGAGTTTCCAGAAGTAGAATGGGAGGTAGAGCCTTCAGTTATCAGCTCCTCTGTTGTGGAATCAGCTCCCAGTTTGGGTTCTGGAGGCAGACGCCCTCTTTAAAGAATAGGCATAAAACTTTCCTTTTGGTTAAGGCTTAGGGCTTTTTCGAGTGATGTTGAACCATTCAATAATTCAGTTCAATTCAATTTTATTTGTATAGCGTGGTGTCATCACATAGCCATTAGTTATGCTTCATACAGTTAATAGATAGTTTGTTCTCCCAAGTGCAGCTCAAAGAGAGTAACTGTTGTTGTATTTTTTTATCACACTGAGGTCAATCACATCAATCAATCAATCAATCAATCAATCATCATCTATCTATCTATCTATCTATCTATCTATCTATCTATCTATCTATCTATCTATCTATCTATCTATCTATCTATGTATCTATCTATCTATCTATGTATCTATCTATCTATCTATCTATCTATCTATCTATCTATCAGTTGCTTATTCCAAATATTCTTCAGAGTCTTGATTTGAAACTGTAAAGTTCATGTGCTTGAAAGTTAACTGTCTTCATGTGTTTCCTGTACCTTACATGACACAATCTACTACAGAGAAGACGTAACTCTGTTAGAGCTGTTGAAAATAAACAAATACTCAGTCCACATGTGTTTGTGTGGCGGGTTACAGGTGTTATCTTTAAAACAGACTTCAGCTGAGTACGGATGGTGGCTGCAGATACCGAACTTCAACCTAGTTTTATTGTGGTTCAAGTTGTGCCCAGAACAACATTAACTAGCAACAGCTGATATGACTAGCTGCCAGTGACCTTTGTCATTTGAACCAGAAAACGTAACAATCTGTGTTAGCAGGAGCAGCTGGAGCCTGACTGAAAATTACATCAAGTGGGTGGATACATCAGCCACAGCGATGAAGGCAATGGAGCACTGCAAAACAGAAACCAGCTAGGACAGGGGTGTCCAATCCTGGTCCTGGAGGGCCACAGTCCTGCATCAGGCTTCTGCGGAGCTCGATGATGAGCTGATCGTTTGAATCAGGTGTGTTGGAAGAGGGAACATCTAAAACATGCAGGACTGTGGCCTTCCAGGACCAGGATTGGACACCCCTGAGCTAGGAGAAAGACATTCAGTCTTAATAGGCAGGGGATGTGCATTATGTGGTGTGACAGTGAAAGACACAGGGTCTGTTAAGCAATGCAGAAACACTCACAATGCAGTCTCACTTCCAGCTACACGGCTGAAATCATATGCTAATTATATAAAGCTAGACTCTTATTTAGGTAGTAATCAGCAGTTATCACATGAAGTCAGGTTCTGCTTTCTTGAGAATGAAAGAAGAAAACATTTATAAAGATCAGAAGCTCAGTGTGCACTCACCAGTTACAATGAATATCCATTATATATAAGTGTGCCTGGATAAGCAGAGACACCATTCGTGGGATTGGCTGTGAAAAATGTGTCATGAAGGAACCCAAATCGAACTTATTGAGAAGTATGAAACTTTTTCATGATCAGGGATACAATCTGTCCCAGTGGGAGATGTCTGTCTGTGCCTGTTGTGTGTGTTAGAGAGGTTAACATTTTCTGTACTAGAGATTAAATCACAGTTGGTCTGTTCCCAGAGGAAACCGGCTGGTTTCAGTCCACATGTCATACTGGCCCTGATCGCCTAGTATACACAGACTCCATATACAGACTAGTCAAAATGTTCTCAAAGCGTTTCTGACTGACTAGAAGACCAGCATTTGGTAGTTTTACAGTTCCAGGGAGCTTTGGACAAGAAGATGTCGGCATACTAACATAAATAGATAATTAGCTTAGCTTAGCTTTTGTTATGGCGGAAGTGTGGAAAATGTTTGAGACACTCCAGTGATTTAGTACAGAAATTTGGGGGGTTCAAAAGAGACAGATGTTTTTTGTCAAATATTTTTTTTGTTGTTGTTTTTTTTTAAAGAGAGAACAGCTCTCGTGATTTGTAGGTAAGATCCTCTGCTGTGTTGTAGGAAATTATGTAAATGATCAGAGGACATAGATGATGGTATGAATATTCATAACTTGAGAATCAGTATCAGTTTTATTAGTATGTTTACACATACAAGGAATCTGATTCAGCTCCTTTTTTGTTTTATGTGGCTCTCAGTGTACTTACAGTACATATAATTTCAGCAACCATGTTCAGGAAATGCAGTGCAAGAGATCTGGACAGCCCAGTGTCACAATAAAATACGTAATAGCTACACTGGTCCACAGCACAAAATGTATTACTTTCCCAAACCAACCCAAGTGTTCTCCTTTCCTGGCTCATAACAGTTATACTCAACAGTCAGCTATCTAATCCCTTCATAATGGAGCTTTTTTTCACCCTCACACTCTACTCAGGTCTCTGTGCTCTGTGCCTGTGCTGCTAATATTTAGCCTATCTGTGATAATCAGCATTTCACATGTAAAGGAGGACAGTAATTAAATAAAGTTGCACTCAGACAGAGTTTTTAATGGCATGAAGGTGGTGCTCTTTTAACCTGCATCATAGTAAGCCATGCTGCACAACTAACCTGCTCCACAGCTGGTTATGTTCAGAGTTTCTGAATTCAATCAGCTTTAAAAAGTGCAACAATCTCTCCATTTCTTTTTCTGACAATTCCCTAAGAGCAATGCAGATTCTCAACAGATGGGATAAATTACCTATAAGCCTTGTCTTAGCAGTAACCAAACTGTATGCATTGATTACCACGAGAACCAACATGCATTTAGTTGTTAATGCAGAAATTTAAACACGTATCAATACATTTTATTCTTGTTCCTGATTTGTTGCAAAGTCCGTTTTACACTGCAGCTAATAGAACACAGATTAGGAAATCAATTAGTCTATAGGTATTTATCACAGACAATATTCAGTCAGTACCAGTGAGATTCATTTCACTTTGATTTGGCCAAAAGCTAATGCGACTTCTCCATATCCTTCATTATGGGACAGTATCAAAACTACATGCACTTCTTAAGTATCGTGTTTGAAAGTATGAAGTTTAATGTTTCAGAGCTTTGCAGTAAAAAGAAGTTGCTGCATTGTGAGTGGACTGAGCAATAAAATAATATGAATGTACACGAATAACTATTCTTGACCAGATTTCTGCTCTTGTTCCATTTTTGTGACATCATTTTACACGATATTCTTCATGGCTCTCCATTACAACAACCTGTTCTCTTGACTGATTGGGGTCATAGTTTTCATCATCCCAGCTAACACAATGAAATACAGCCCTCAGCAGTTGACAGGCAAAGTCCAACAAGGTCAAATCCAAACAAAACAACAGTCCAACAAACAAACAAGGATTAGCCTAGAAGGTAAAGTCAAACACGTAAGGAATAACACAGTGACATTTGGAGATACAAAGACACAGAGACGAACCAACAAATGGACTAAACACACAAGGGAGACCAGGGCAATGGGATATATGAATCAAATCAGTGCAGAGAAGGAATCACAATGGCAGGAAACATACAAGGCAGGAAGTCAAACAATGACACATAACGGAAAGTGACTCTTTCATAATAAAACATGAAATAAAACCTCTGACCACAACAAATTTAAATAGGACATTGCATTTCTGTAACCACAGTTATAAACAGAAACCATCTGTAAAACACTTATAAATACTGTCTACTGTCATAGTACAGTGTCATTCATTTTATGGTGAGTACTCCTTTTGTGTCTTGATATCATGCAAAGATAAGAATTCAAAACAAGAATAAGTTAAATAAAAGTTTCACCAACAGTAAGACCCATCAGTCATTAAAAAGTCAAAAGGACACTGACATGAATTTTCATGATTTTAAAAATTTAAAATCATTGTTTGGTGAAGTGAGAGATGTTTGTGTTCATGTGTGTTTGTGTTAGTTCAACTTACAGTGCATAGTCAGCGATGATTTTCTTGGTGAAGAACTCCTCTACTCCTTCATCCACTCTGCCCATCACCTCACTAGCCTCATTCTCTACCTTTGACACTGGCTCCTGAAAGAAACACCACAATATGACATACAGTATGCACACTGTACAATGTGTATGCAGGTGTGTCTTGTGCTGAAGAACAAGATCCCACAAAAATCCAATGTGTCTGTATTTGCTTGGACATTTGACAGACAAACTAAAATGTGAGCGTTAAAAACCAGAGCAAAAAGGAGTTTTTGATTCTAACTTGATATTTTAGGAGCAATAGAAATTTGGTATTTTTGTTCACAGATTATTATTATTATTACTATTATTATTAATATTAATATTAATATTAATAACAGTAATACTCATAATAATCATCATAATCATCATAATCATAATTAATATTCCACTATTTTAAACTCATAGCAACTATAAAAGAAAACATTGTGCTTTCATCTTTTTACCAGTGGACCTCTGAAAGGTTTTTCATCCCTCTAAGATGGGAACAGACTTTAAGATTACTGAAAATCAAACAGAGTATACACACCAAACATATGCACCAGAATAGAAGTTTTTCATGGGAACAGTCAGAAAGAAGTGCATATTTAACTAGTGAATAGGAAACACAGGTGAGCTATCCCCACCCCCTCCATGCCCACTCTCACTGCAACCGGTCGAGGCAGATGACCTCCTTCCCTGAGCCTGGTTCTGTCAGAGGTTTTTTTTCCTCCCATTGTGTTTTTTTTTGGTTCCTTCCCAACTGTGCTACACAAATAAAACTGAATGGAACCAAATTGAAAATCTATGGAATATATGACTTTACAATGCAATTTCCAAATCTTACAAGATCAAAAAATCTCTCGTAACTTAAATAAACAGTCTTGATATGATGTGTAAAGTAAATGGTAAATGGATGGCACTCAAAGCACTTCACAATGTTTTCTCATTCACCCATTTATACACACACATTCATACACCAACGGCGACAGAGCTGCCATGCAAGGCACTAGCCTTCCATTGGGAGCAACTTTGGGTTCAGTGTCTTGCCCAAGGACACTTCGACTGTGGAGGGGGCGGGGATCGAAGCGGCAACCTTATGATCAGAGGACAACCGCTCTACCACCTGAGCCACAGCCGCACAAAAAAAAGAAAACATCCAATGAGAGGTAGTTCTGCAGACACCTTATTGCTGAGAGAAGTCAGGGAAGAATGGCCAGAATAGAGGAGGTAACAGAAAGGCTATTGTAATTTACTTAACACGCTTTACAACTGGGAGCAGAGAAGCATCTCAGAATGCACAACATATCCGACCTTAAGGCAGATGGGCTGTAACAGCAGAAAACCACGTCAGGTTCCTCTACTGTGAGCCAACAACAGAAATGTGATGCTGCAGTGGGCACAGACTCACCAAAACTGGACAACTAAAGACTGGAATACCATGGTCTGGTGAATCCCATTTTGTGGAACACTTTGGGCACCTTCATGCTTATTTACATCATACTCAGTGTTGCATCTGACATGTGCATTCCAATATGGCTACAATTTATCAATAAACATCAATCGCTTGGCCCAGACTGGAACAGTCCAGACAGCACAAATATAATTATACAGTCAACATGAAGATATACAGTTGAAACCAGACGTTTACATACACTGTATAAAAAGACAAAACCTTTTCTTTTTCTCATTGTCTGACATTAAATCAGACTAAACTTTTCCTGTTTTAGGTCAGTAAGGATCACCAAAGTTATTTCTATTTGCTAAATGCCAGAATAACGAGAGAGAATTCTTTATTACTTTCTTCAAAGTCAGAAGTTTACATACACTAAGATTACTATGCCTTTAAACTATTTGGGAAAGCCCAGATGATGATGTCATGGCTTTGGAAGCTTTTGATAGGTTAATTGACAACATTTAAGTTAATTGGAGGTACACCTGTGGATGTGTTTTAAGGCACACCTCAAACACTGCTTCCATTTGTGACATCATGGAAAATCTAAAGAAATCAGCCAAGATATCAGGAAGAGATCTGTGGACCTCCACAAGTCTGGTTCATCCTTGGGTACAATATCCAGATTCCTGAAGGTTCCATGTTCATCTGTTCAAACAATTACACACACAAGTATAAACGACATGCCCTGTGGTCTGATGAAACTTAAACTGAACTGTTTGGCCATAATGACCATCATTACATTTGGAGGAAAAAGGGGGAAGCTTGCAAGCCTGAGAACACCATCCCATCTGTGAAGTATGGGGGTGGCAGCATCATGTTGTGGAGGTGTTTTGCTGAAGGAAGGACTGGTGCACTTCACAAAATAGATGGCATCATGAGGAAAGAACATTATGAGGGAATATTGAAGCAACATCTCAAGACATCAGCCAGGACGTTAAAGCTTGGGTGCAAATGGGTCTTCCAGATGGACAGTGACCCTAAGCATACTGCCAGATTAGTTACAAAGAGGTTTCAGGACAACAAAGTCAAAGTTTTGGAGTGGCCATCACAAAGCCCTGATATCAATCCTGTAGACAATTTGTGGGCAGAGCTGAAAAAGTGTGTGGAGCAAGGCGATCAACAAACCTGACTCAGTTCCACCAGTTCTGTCAGGAGGAATGGGCCAGAATTCATCAAACTATTGTGAGAAACTTGTGGAAGGAAACCCAAAACTTTTGACCCACGTCATGTAGTTTAAAGGCAATGCTACCAAATACTAAGGACTACGAAGGACTCCTTTAAACATATTTTAGTCATTGTGGCCAAATAGTCCAATTTTTGTTTTGTGACCTCCAGAAGACCTTTTTTTTTTTGTCCATGTAATCAGCAGCAAATTTCAGTCAGGCTTTCGGGTGCTGCTTCTGTAATGTTTCTGTACTATGATATTAATGTGTCTATACACAAACACCGAGAGATGACTTACTGTTAGCAACCATGCTAATGTTTATTCTGTCTCATACAACACGTCATGCGTACGTCATCAGCTGGCGTTGGCCACTACACCTAAACATGCGCTGGATGTTACATCTCCCTTCTTTTAGAACAAATAACAAGATTGAATGCAGTTATTGTTTAGCTGTGACAATATGAAACAACATATTTCAAAGCAAACATGTAAACAAACCTTTTTATCAAAACCAAATTCAGTCTCAGAGTAAATATGGCCAGATTCTGTAAACAATGTAATATTTTCATCAAAGAAAACACAAAGGCTATCGTACAAAATAAAACAAGTCTTCAGTGGTGTAGCTTAAGCAAAATAGGTTTGATATCTGCTAATCGAACATAACCACATACTGGAACATTATGAGCATGACAAGTCCTAACTGCGCAATACAACCCTTGGTACATTTTTTCATTAAAGAGGTGCACAAAATACAGTTGGTAGATTTGGAATAACTGTTCACAGATCCAGGATTACTCTGGGTTTTACTGCACAGCTTGATCTTGTTGTGAAGCCTCTCTGAAGCCCATTGGGTCTGCGTTGGTGTGTTGTAAAGTTTTGAGTTCAGTGTTCCCAGGTTTTTCTTGGTTGTTGTGTGTTTGTTGTCCAGTGTCACTTTCTTGGGTTTGTGGGAGGTGACGTCTGTTCCGCCTTAATGCCTGACCCTCATCAGCGACAATGTTGTAGGATCTCTGTGTAGCTGCTGGTACAGTGACTGTTGCAGGTTTCCATGTCCCAGTGGGAAGCTGGAAACGGACAGTGATTCCTGATGGCAGTGAAGGCAGCGTTTTGGATTTCCTGTCATAATACAGTTTCTGCCGTCTTTGGTCTGGACTGTGTTGCAGGGAGTGAGTTCTGGCTGCAGCTGTTACCAAGTGGCTGGAAGGATTGAACGTAAGCGCCTACTCATCAGAAGTTGAGCTGGTGACTTCAAACCATCCACCAGTGTGTTTCTGAATTCCAGCAGGCTGAGGTATGGGTTCTCTGAGCACATGTTTATCAGTAAGGGCTTTGGCAGTATGCACTAACTACAGTCTGGGGTATGCCAAACCTAGCGAACATGGCCTTTAGCTTAGTTATGACTGCAGATGATGTCAGGCTAATGATCTTCTCTACCTCAAAATACCTGCTGTAGTAGTCAACTGCTATTATGCTGCTATCACTGTTGTTCCATGTGAACAGGTCTGTAGCGATTACTTGCCAAGGTCCCACAGGGATAGGATGGGGTAGCATTGGCTCTTTTGGGTTTGAGTTATGTCGTTCCTGGCGGGTGCTACGGGATCCAACCAGAGTCTCTATGTTTTTCCCATCCCAGGCCAGAACAAAACATCTCTTGCTCTCTGCTTGGACTTTTCCATCCCTAAATGTCCGGCATGTATGGGTGACAACATGCCAGCCCTAAGTGAGTGTGGTATGATTATTTTTTCTCTCTTTAGCATGATGCCGTTTGCCACAGATAACTCATACCTGTGGCTCCAATACTCACTGGTGGCAGGTGGATATTTTTTGTTTGACTCAGGCCATCCTGATTGGATAACATAGACAGCTGCTCGTCTTGTCCTGTGGCGGCTCTGATTTCTGCCATTTTTCAATCACTCACATTACTGAGCACGGTGTGTATCAGACTGTCCATTCCTTCACACAGTGACTGGTTGTTGCATTCGATTGGTTTTCTGGACAAGGTGTCTGCGACAGGAATTTGTTTTCCTGGCTTATGTGTGATGGTGATGTCATATCTCTGGAGCTGCAGTATTATGTGCTGGAGTCGAGGCGGTGCACCTACAAGGGGCTTGCACATGATCGATTCCAGAGGCTTGTGGTCAGACTCGATGATCACCTGTCTCCCATACAGGTACTGATGGAACCGCTTATACCCGAAGAGCACTGCAAACAGTTCTTTTTCTATCTGGGCATAATTTCTTTCAGTCTCATTCAGAACTTTGGATGCATACGCGACTGGCTTTTCATCCTGAAGCAGGACTGCTCCTAAGTCACATTTGGAGGCGTCGACCTGAAGTTTCACATCCTTGGTGTGGAACTTCAGTAGTGAAGTATACAAGTACAGGGCCTGGCTCCTGTGTCAAAAGGTCCTCCACACATTGGAAAGCAACATCATGATTTGAGTCCCACACAAACTCACTG